TGAGTGAGCAGCTGTGTGGTGCTCAGTTGCCGACTGAGGTTAAACGACAACATGAATGAATTCCACAGGGATCACCCTTTTCCCTAGCAGTGCTTGCATGCAACCAAGTTGCAGAGTTAGTGGTCTGGTACCTTAGAAATGAAGATGCCTTCATCAGTGGGATCAAATGGATTTCCAGCATGACCTTTTGCTCCACCCCGGATGCTGATGCCCAGCTTTTCTCCTGGAGCCTTTTCAATGCATATTTCCTGTAAACACAGAAAAGGTCTCCTTGTTTCTGGGTCAAGTTCAGACTGGAATTGTTGAGGAAACACTCCTAGTAGCTGGCCATATTCTAAATACCCTGAAAAGAACCTGAGTTAGACCTTTCACTCGTTTGGCACAGTTTATTCCTTTTAATGAGGCTCTGCCCTTTTCTGTATTTCTGTCTCCTGTTCAGGTCTTGCCTTCATGAAATCTGATCATTCTCTGATCACAGTATCACCATGGACTCGGCAAGAGACCCTCCACAGTCCTCAACTGGATATATACTTAGAAGAGACTGGATTCTGCCACAAGAGAAGGAAATTTCAACCAGAAGTTTGGTTGTATCCTAGTCCCAGACTTCCAGCTAGGTAAGAAGTTGCCTTCAAAAGTGATCGTTCTATAAAGAAGAGTGCGATTCCCCCCAGTTCTCTTACTCAGTACCTACCTGCATACCAGGTGGTGGCGGATCTCGCCTTACTAACATAGTCAGCTCCTGGGTGTTGGAGAGCAGGGCATTCACTGCTTCCTGGTGGGTAGCATGGCGCAGGTCAATACTATTTACCTCCAGGATCCTGTCCCCTACACGGAGCCCACTGCGAGATGCCAGTCCACGGGGAATGACCTACAGAGAATCATTAATATTACAACTAGAGAAGGAAATTCCATCTCCCCTTGGAGAGACACTGATTGTGTCCCTAGGCCATCCTCCAACGTTCTCTGAGGCCTGTTTTGACTTCTCCCTCTGCAACCAAAGCTCCTCAAGAGGTAACATATCTGTGAACACTGGCAAAGAATGAAGTAAGATTTGCTTTGAAGTGTCATTCAATATGTTCTTATATTCTCATATTACCATTTTCATCTGAACCAATCCTGTTTCAGCTTTTCCATTATTTTGTCTGTAACTGTAACCAGAAGACAGATTTCTCACAAGAACTCTGAAGGAACTCAAATGTTAAACTGCAGGGCTGTTGTCGGAAGTACATCATCTACCATTACAAATGGCCACTGTACCAGGACTGACAGTGTCAGTACAACTCCAGTCCTCAAGAAGTGCTCTAGAGGGGATCTTGAGAGCTACAGAGTTACTAACCAAGAAACCTAACTTCTATTCCTGGTAAAACAACGGAATCAAAAAAGAAAGATTAAGATCTGTGAGCATGTAGATAAGTAGGGTTTGTTGGAAAAGAGTTCATTTGGCTTTGGTAAAAGCAAATCCTGCCTCATTGACCTGCTGAAGCACTGTGAGAGAAAGAACGAACACATGAAGGAAGCAATCTGGTAGACATAACTTCTGGATTTCCAAATGGCTCTTGACAAGGTCTGAACCTAAAGGCTATTAGAGAATCTGTGTCCACTGGATGGGAGGAAAGGCCATCTTAATGGACTGAAAGCTGGTTAAAGGAGAGGAAAACAAAGGTCAGGGCTGGACAGCTGCTGCTCAGGACACAAAAGATTCACTGGTGTGATGCCTGAGGGATTGGTGTGGGACTGGTGTTATTCAGCATGTCCATCTGTGACCTGAAAAAAGTAGTGAACAGTGAAATCTCCAGGTCTGCAGATGATACTGTGCTGTTTTGAGCAGCTGAAAACCACTCTGGTGGTGGGGAACTTCAAAAGGGGTCAAGAAAACTGGACAAAAAGACATGGCATGAGCTTCAGCACAGACAATGAGTCTATGCAAAAACACCTTAAACCATGCACACAGAACACTGAACTCGGAAACTGTAAAACAGGAAAGTTCCTAGAGCCATTGTCACATGTTTTCTGAAATCATGGGCTCTACATGCAGGAAGAGACAAAAGAAAAGCCAACAAAATTTTGGGCATTGTCAGAAAGGGTTCTGAGACCAAGAATCACTCACAACTCCAGGACTGTTCAGTTCTCTGCTCCCAAAAAGGCAGAGCAGAAGGGGACCCAGAAACTGCACTGAGGACTGTGCAAGGATGATGGTGATATGCCACAGGGTAAGGTCCCCAGTACCAGCCAGAGTATCCTTGGCGCTTTAGAGGAAGGATACAGCTTTCAGGGTCTTGGGCTACAGGGAGTGCCTGGGGCCTCTCACCTTCCACACCAGTGGAAGGTTTGCTCTGATCAAGGTGCGAAGCTGGCAGGTGAAGAAGCTACAGGATGAGATGAGCGTACTGCATAGTGTCAGTCAAAATGAACAGAGCGCAACAGGCTCTTTGCAGAAACCCTACAGAGAATAGACTCCAAATCCCATGTTGTATGGAATAAGGGTCAGCTAGGGACTGTGCTTAAACAAACAGCAGAGGTTCCCAAGCTGGGGAAGGCTGGGAGCTTGAGATTGCTGGCAACAGAGGGAAGAGTCCTTCTCTCTACTGACACGCATCTAAAAAATAGATCTAGTGTGTTGTAGCAGATGAGGAGAAACAAACTACACAAAAGGAGGCACTGGAGCCATCCCAGAATGAACCACGTGTCAGCACCAACAGGAAGCGTCAGGTGAAACCTTCTGCAAAGGACAGAGGCACACATCTGTCAAACAGACTTGCTGTTTCAGGAGGCTTGTTGCTAGCCTCCTGACGGGCCGGAAGGAGGATCTGGGGAACTACAGGCCTGTCAGCCTGACCTTGGTGCCGGGAA